TGGGCTCTGGGTGGACTGTTATCACATAATGGACATGTTGATTATGTTTCTCTTGTATTGATTATATTTTGGATCCGTGTCTCCATGATGGGATTTGACAGATGTCTTAGTTCCTTTAAAAACTCATTTACATGTCACCTCTTAAAATGAACAACTTCTGCAGTTGGTTGCTGTGCATAGTATGCAGATTTAATTAACATTTAAATTTTATATTTTAATAGGTAATATATGCCAATAGTCAAAATTCAAAAGGTACAATGGGGTGAAAAGCTCTCTCCCATCCCTGTCACCTAACCACCCAGGTCCCCTCCCTAGAGGTAGGGAGATACACATACATACACACATATTTTTCACCCTATTTAATTTTTTTTTTAATTTTTATTTATTTATGGCTGCGTTGGGTCTTTGTTGCTGCGCGCGGGCTTTCTCTAGTTGCCGCGAGCGGGGGCTACTCTTTGTTGTGGTGTGTGGGCTTCTCATTGCAGTGGCTTCTCTTGTTTCAGAGCACGGGCTCTAGGCACGAGGGCTTCAGTAGCTGTGGTGTGCGGGCTCTAGAGCACAGGCTCAGTAGCTGTGGCACACGGGCTTAATTGCTGTGAGGCATGTGGGATCTTCCCAGACCAGGGCTTGAACCCGTGTCCCCTGCATTGACAGGCAGACTCCCAACCACTGCACCACAAGGGAAGCCTACCCTATGTAATATTTTATGTACTGTTCTTCACCTTCCTTTTTTCACCAAGAATCTATCTTGGAGGTAATTTTACATTAGTATATAAAGAGCCTCCTTTTTTTTTTTTTAAGTACACAGTATTCCACTGAATGAACGTACCATTACTTTTTTAACTAGTCTCTAACTAATGGACACTAAGATGGCTTCCAAACTTTCGCTATTACACGATGTTCCATGTACCTAAGTTATTTTGCACATAAGCAACTATATTTTTAGGATGAATTCCTAGTAGTGTGATTGCTAGGTCAAAGGTATATGCATTTTTACTTTTGATAAATATTGATATATTGCCAAATTGTCTCCCTTAGAGCTTGTATGAGAGCTTCACTGAATATTAACAAAGTTTTGGATTTTTCCTATCTGGTTATGAAAAAGGATATGTCAGAGGAGTTTTAAACTATATTTTCCTTACACTGAGTGAGGTTGAGCACCCTTTCATGTTGACTTCCTTTTCTGCATAGTTGGTATAGCCGCGGCTCCTTTTTCTACTGAGTTTATTTGTAGAAGCACTTTATGTTTTAGGAAAATTAGGCTTTTCTGTGATACAAGCTGTAGATATTTTATACCAAATTGGAGTATGTCTTTCGACTTTCATTATGATAGTTTTCGCCTGGAGAGCTCAAACTCTGGAAACTACCTGGGTTTGAATCTTGGCTCTGCCACTCACTAGCTTGAGCAAGTTACTTAACCTCTCTGTGACTCAATTCATCAGTAAAGTGGTGATATTAATAGTACCTGCCTCACAGGGTTGCTGTAATTAAAAGAACAATATATGGAAAGGGCTTAGAAAATAGGTGGCACATGACAAGGACTATAAAAAGTATTGTGGTTTTTTTAATGTAGTCAAAGTTAATGCTGATTAATTTTAGGTGCCGTTTCAAAGAAAAACATATTTGCCTTGGCTTCAAATTCTGGAGATAAAGTGAAAAAAAGAAATTATTCTCACTTTTGATAAGTAATATGCACTATTTACATATCAAGCCATCCACATAATAAAGGGTGCCCAGTCCATGGGAGTGTAGACCAAGCAGTGAGGTGCTTTATGGTCACTGCATTTACTCCTCACAACCACTCTCTTCAATAAGCAAGGTCCCACTGTAGAGCACAGGAAACTGTATTCAATATCCTGTGATAGGCCATAATGGAAAGGAATATGAAAAAGAATATATATATGTCTAACTGAATTACTCTGCTGTAGAGCAGAAATTAACACAACATTGTAAATCAACTACACTTCAATAAAATAAATTTAAATACATATATTTAAATATTATATATATATTTGGGGAAAAAACCCGCTTCAGCAGGTATCATTATCCTCATTTTACCTATGAGGAAATTGAGGTTCAGAGGTGCCAAAAGATTTGCCCAAGGTCAAGCTTCCTTTGTGCATTGATTTGCAAATATTCTTTAATCCTTTCTCTTGGCCTGCCTGCTGCAGGTCCCCAAGGCATATCCTGTGCCTATACCCGGTTCCCTCAGTGAACACTCAAGAGACCCCTCTGGCTGGCTGTTTCCCATTCATTCACTCAGCAAGCCCCAAGCCAACTCCTTCTGACTTCCTCCCGTGACCCTGGCTCTTCAGCTTGGAATCCCTTTTGACTCCTGACACAGTGTTCATCAAGTCTTACAGGTTCTCCCTCCTCTGAAATGTCTCGACTCTACCCTTCCCTTCCATCCCAGCTGCCACCACTATGTTTCAACCCTGACTATCTTTTGCAGGGACGGTAGCTGCACTAAGCTTCTAAGAAAGCTTCCAGCTGCCTTCCACAATATTTCCTCTCTAGTTTCTTCTACAGTGCTGCCCAGGTGATTTCCCTAAACCACAGCTCTAGTCTTATCACTCCCCAACTCTCAAACCTTCAGAGGCTCCCTCTGCCAGCTCCTTACCCTTGACATTTGACCCAACCTATTCTGCCAGTTTTGCTTCCAAGACTCCCTACCCATCCAGCCAAAACGAATGCTTCACTACTCCATGAACAGGCTTCCAGTCAGCTTGTTTGTTCAGCTTAGGATTTCTCTCTCTGCTCTCTCTTCCAGGCAGCTCAAGCTTCAAGAAGCTGTCCTTTATTCTGACTATACTCACTTCCCTCCTTACCCTCATGACCTCTTCCCACTCCACACCCTTTCTTATACAAAATCCTTTAGAGGCGGAATCCTACTTTCCTTGTTATTTACTGGAATGCTTTCACACACAGGTACAACTGATAAACCCCACAACCTATTTTCTAATGGGTCTAGCCACTCACAGGGCCCTGGGTTAACAGGGCACATGGTGCGCCAGGCCTGCTCGTGGCAACAACCAAGCCTGGCCCATTTGAACCCAGCTCTCCTCACAGAACTGTGACTTCTGCATAGAGAACAGACCTGTGGTTGCCAAGGGGAAGGTGGGTGAGGGAGGGAATGGAGTGGGAGGTTGGGGTTAGCAGAGTATAAATAGAATGGATAAACAACAAGGTCCTACTGCATAGCACAGGGCACTATAGACAATATCCCATAATAAAGAATAATGGAAAAGGACAGGAAAAAGAATATATATATATATATATATATATGTATAACTGAATCACTTTGCTGTATACCAGAAACTAATACCTTGTAAATGAACTATACTTCAACAAAAATAAAAATAAACCAGATCTAGATTTAAAAAAAAAAAAGCAAACTGTCACTTCTGGTCAAGAGCCCTTCACAGGCTTACATTTTTCTTTTAGATCTGACAGCTGTCAACTGATACCTAGAACAGGCACAGCACAAAGAGACCATTCTGGAAGTATTAGTGGTATGAACAAAACTTTGCACTGGCGAGAACATCAGAACGTTAGATCAACTTCCTTGTTTCAACAGAAGAAATCAAGGCACAGAGGCTTCCCTGGTGGCGCAGTGGTTGAGAATCTGCCTGCCAATGCAGGGGACACGGGTTCGAGCCCTGGTCTGGGAAGATCCCACATGCCGCGGAGCAACTAGGCCCATGAGCTAAAACTACTGAGCCTGCGCGTCTGGAGCTTGTGCTCCGCCAACAAGAGAGGCCGCGACAGTAACAGGCCCACGCACCGCGATGAAGAGTGGCCCCCGCTCGCCGCAACTAGGGAAAGACCCAACACAGCCAAAAATAAATAAATAAATAAAAATTTTTTTTAAAAAATCAAGGCACAGAAAGGGAAGAGACTCGCCCTAGGTCACACAGCAAGAAGGAACCAGAACTAGATCTAGAACTAACGCCTCCTGACTGAAGTTCAGAGCATGCTCCTCTGCACCTTGGAGCCACGCAGATCTAGGGTGGGCAGCCTCAGCTACCAGAGGTCACAACCAAACACGTCACCACCAGTTCAACACGCGTTGCTCTTTCCTCACACTCATCTCAGAGCCTCCTTCGACCTTTCCACAACACAATCTTTCCTCGTCTCTAAGTAACAGTTTTAAAGGTAGGGATCTTCAGCGGCGAGAGGGCTTCCCTGTCAACCGGGTTGGACACAGAAAATACCCGGTGCTGGGTGGGGTTCCCACCGCTAGAGAAGTAGCCTCGGAGCTCCCGGGGTCCGAACTCAGCCTCCGGCCCCGCCCCGGCCCTGCCCTCAAGCGCGCCCGGCCCCGCCCCAAACGCGCAAAGCCCAATCAAGCCTGCAGCCGACTCGCTGCATCGTCACCAGGCCTGGGCGGAGCCGAACTCCCAATCCCTTCCCCCTCCCTAAGATCCGCCCCATTGGCGTAGACAGTCAGAAAACGCGTCCACTGAGAAGGAAGGGGTGGCCGCCATGGCCCTATCCGCTGAGACAACGCGAGAACGGACACAACTAACTGGCAGATTCTAGACCTCGGTGTTTCCGCGTCCTTCTACGCTTCGCTCCCACTCTTGCCGATCCTGCGCCCGAGGGAGAGCCGGAAAGGCCCCTCTGATCAAGTAAGTCTACGCTGACTGTTGGCGTTGGTCCAGGGGCGGCTGCTGCTACCCCGACAGAGCTCGGGGTGGGATGGGGGTCGGGGGAAGGCCCGAGAAAGGGGCGGGGAGGAGCCGAGCACGTGGAACGCCGGCACGACCCTGGCGTGGGTGGCTGGTTGGGCCGGCGAGCTCCGGCTGTGAGGGAGGAATCGGTGGGCGGGTGGAGCTCGCGCGTCTTGTCGGATCTGCCGCCGTAAAGACGGGGGGAGGGGGACCCCGAGTGTCACCTCTCCGTGTCCGCCCTGAAGGAGCGTTTTTCTAAATCCTGATGTGAAGTTGCCACCCAACACCTGCCAGTGGCTGAACTGCGGGCCCTTGGTGGCGGCTTACCTGAAAGTTGAGGTTGAGGTTGATTTTTTCAAACAGGTCAGCATAACAGCTAACGCAAGCGCCTCGTGAGTGCTTAGGCACTGCCACCTGCTTTTCAGGCATTAACTAAACTTTCCATACACCAGCCCAGTGAGGTAGGTGGTAGTGTAATACCTCCGTCAGACGCAGAAGAGCCCTAGTGAGGTTGTTGCTTACCCGAGGTAACTCGCGAACTAGTAAAGTGACGGAGCCGTGGGATGAAGCCAAGCTTCCCGAGGTAACCTCCACACCGAGTTACGGTAGCGACAAAGCCACGCCGTCCACTCTAGCGCTCGCCGTGTCCAGGAAGCCTCGTCGTCTCCCCAGTTATCCTTAGAAACCATGACACCCCGTCCCCCTGGACGGGCGTGGTGTGGTCCACAGACCTTGGCAGACGCAGAAACAGCCCAAAGGAAAGAAGACTGAGGCCACCGCTTCCTGGAGGAAACAAAAGTCCAGAGCCCCACACTCCAGTTTTAAATAACGGTGGAGATTGTAGTTGAGGTGGTGTCCTGGGGCCGGACCAGCAGGGGTGGAATGCCGTTTCCCCCACGCAGTGTATCTTTCGGGGCACCATGCTTGGCCCTTTAAGCTTCCGTTTCCTCATTTGTGAGGTAGAGTTTTAAATAAACGCCGACGCAGGGTGGCCACGGCAAGCCCCCTGTGGAGGCCATTTTGCGTAGGGCTTTTCAAACCAGTGGCGTTACCGTTTTCCACGCTGCAGTCCAGTATCCTTTATAATCCCCATGAACCTGTCGCTGGATATTTAGGATGTGCCTCACTCATAAATGGTATAGTACTGCTGTAGTAGAAAATCTTTTTTTGTTTGGGGGATATAATTCATATACCATAAAATTCTCCGTTTAACAGTGTACGTACGGTTTGGCAGGTTTTGTAGAATATTCGCAAGGTCGTGCGACCATCTTATTCCAGAACATTTTCATCACCCCAAAAATAAGCACTGTGGCCCCGGCGCGGCCTAGGCCGAGGCATTGTTAGGCTCCAGGCCCGGGGCCACGGGCCACGTGCTCGGCAGGATGTTGAGGCGGCTGCTCGGGTGCAAGCAGTGGAGCCTGCGCTCCGTGCTGAATTTCGGCTGTGGGCCGCAGCCGAGACCGGGCCCACCTCTCACAGAGGCCGGGAGGGAGGCTGCCCGCCACCCCACCAGCCTGAGGCCCCCAGGCCGGGCCTTTTCTGGGTGGCACCGGCAGAACTTGGCGGCCAGGCCCAGAAGAGCGTCTTGTGGGAGGGGAAGGAAGCGGTACCCGGAAACTGGGCCGCTCAAACCGGAAGCAGTTTGGAGAGCTGTGCCAAGTCTTCGGCGCGCCTGCGCAAAAAACTGCCCGGCTGGGAGGCAGACCCGACTCTCCTGCGAGAGGGTCTCCGCAGAGACCCCAGATTTGAACAAGGACCGGAAAAACCGCTAGGGAGTATGCCGAACTTAAGGATTATCGGTGTGCCACCACAGTTGAGACTTGCGGCCGAAGGAACCATTGTAGAAATGAAACGGGATGACCTCACAGCGACATCAGCATCAAGGAATGGAGAAGCTAAGCAGCTACCTGAAGTAGAAAGGACAAGTCAGCACACCCATCCGCTGGACCTGTTATTTCATGGCAAACCCACTTACAGAGAGCTACCCTGGATGCTGTGCAAACAACGCTCATCTGGAGGAAACTGCTGACAGTTTTGAAAAGCAGAAAGTAAAGGATATAAAGACTGTATTTTCAGAATTTATCACTACTGAAATGCTATTTCAGAGCAAAGCTTCAGAGGTATACACTGGTGCCTACCAAAATATACAAAAGATTGATGAGATTTGAGGTTTTCAGAAGCTCTAGGTATTCACCCGATTATCCATCTCACTTGTATATTGTAAGAGCAAATTCAGAGTTGCCTTTTCAGAGATTTTTTTAGCTAAGTGTTTGCAACAGGACAGGTGTCCACTTGTGGACTAAGAGGGGATCAGCAAGAAGAAGATGAATTAGACATTACAGAAGAAGAAAATTAATTTTCCTCAGTACATGTCTCATTTCCATTTTTATCTTAATATGACTCAGAATTCAGGATTGCTGAATTATAAAACTTTATTCTGGCTTGCTATGCTAAACATCAAAATGGAATGCTACTGAAAATAGGGGAGAAAAATGGAAGGATATGTATGCTGATCCAAAATGAAGGTTTTAAAAAATATTACACAGCCAGTCATTTCAACTTCCTACCTAGTGATATATGATCTTTTTGTATAACTCCCACACTTTTTTTTTAAGATTATGGGTTTCAAAGTATTTCATATTAATGTACTGTACCTGCTTCGGAGTCCTATAGTAAAGTAGATATCAAAAACCAAAAGATCTACCAATTCCATTTAGCTTCTTTTAGACTGACTCTGCAAAAGGATCCTATCTAGTCATTTTGATTAAATATAAATTCTATCCCATGAAACTTTAAATAAAAACACAAGTTTTCTTTTCTTGAAAAAACTTTTACTGAAACATGAAGTTTCATCATTTGATCTGTAAATTTACCTTTCAACAAGTGTATAATCAAACAGAATAAAGGAAATATGACACCAATATATCCATGTTTTACAAATGAACAAAGCATAAATTTTAGTTTAGAGTCACATTCAACTTGATTCTGGCTTTAAAACAAAACTGCTGTCATACTCATAGAGTACAGACTTGTGGTTGCCGGGGGGAGGGGCGGGGGGAGGTTGGGGTTAGCAGGTGTAAGCTGTCATATATAGAATGGATGGATAAACAACAAGATCCTACTGTATAGCACGGAGAAGTATATTCAGTATCCTATGATAAACCATAATTGAAAGGATATTTAAAAAAGAATATATATGTATAACTGAATCATTTTGCTGTATGGCAGAAATTAACACGTTATAAATCAACTATACTTCAATTTAAAAAAATTTTTTTAAACTGTTGTCATACTAAAGTACTATAAATGGTACTACAGCCTTTGGAAAGCTAGTAATCTGGTGGAATGTTTTGTAGAAAAACATAAACTAGAACACATGGAACACCATACATCATTTAAAATTCTATAAAAATTTTTCTAAGCTGCCACCTAGATAATAAAAAGATATAACAGTTATTCTTGGAAACATAAAACAATTTAATCAGAGTCTTTATCAACTCATGTGGGGTAACTGGAAAAAGCAATTATTCATAACAGAAAAGTAGACTTTCGAGAAGCTATAAAAAAAGGACCTGAACCTTTGTACTCCCTGTTCTGTAACCCCTCTTCCCTCAGCACCTGGAAAACCATTTCTCTCTTTCTCCCTCTCTGGGTTTGCCTATTCTGGAGATTTCATATACATCAAATAAATAATACAGTGTGTGGCCTTTTGTGTCCCACTTCTTTTATTTAGCATAGTGTTTTCAAGGTTCATCCACATTGTAGCATGCCTCAGTACCACATTCTTTTTATGGCTGAATAACATTCTGTTGTATGGATGTGCTGTATTTTGTTTATTGAGTCATCAGTTGATGGAAATTTGGATTGTTTACACTTTGGGGCAATTATGAATAATGCTACTATGAATATTACTGTCCAGATTTTTATATGGCCATATGTTTTCATTTCTGCTGGATTTTGCTAGGTCATATGGTAACTCTATGTCGAACCTTTTGAGGAACTGCCAAACTGTTTTCCAAAGTGACTGCAGCGTTTGCGTTCCCACCAGCAGTGTATGAGAGTTCCAATTTCTCCACATTCTCACCAATACTTGTTATTTGTGTTAGTTTTTTTTTTTATTATAACAATCCTGGTAGGTATAAAGTGGTATCTTATTGTGGTTTTTATTTTCATCTACCTATTGACTAGTGATGAGCATCTTTTTGTGTTCTAAGTGGCCATTTGTATATCTTTGAAGAAACGTCTTCAGATTTTTTCCTTATTTTTTAATTGAGTTATTTTTTTCTTGTTGAGTTTATATATTCTGGATACTAGATCCTTATCAAATGTACGATTTAAAAATATTTTCTCCCATTCTGTGGGTTGTCCTTTCACCTTCTTTTTTTTTGAAGTGAATGGTGTTGCTTCTTTTTTTAATTTATTTTATTTTTGGCTGCATTGGGTCTTTGTGGCTGCGCATGGGCTTTTCTCTAGTTGTGGCGAGCGGGGTCTTCGTTGCAGTGCACAGGCTTCTCGTTGCTGTGGCTTCTCTTGTTGCACAGCACGGGCTCTAGGTGTGCGGGCTCAGTAGTTGTGCCTCTCGGGCTTAGTTGCTCCATGGCATGTGGGATCTTCCCGGACCAGGGCTCAAACCCATGTCCCCTGCATTGGCAGGTGGATTCTTAACCACTGCACCACCGGGGAAGCCCCCTTTTCACTTTCTTGATAGTGTGTTTGCACAAAAGTTTTTACTTTTGATGAAGTCTACTTAATCTATTTTTTCTTGTGCTTTGGGTGTCATATTTAAGAAACCATTGCTTATTGAAAGTTCATGATGATTTATACCTTTGTTTTCTTATAAAAGTCTTACAGTTTTAGAGCTTGAATCCATGAGTTAATTTTCATATATGATGTGAAGTAGGGATCGGATTCATTCTTTTGCAGGTGAGTGTCCAGGTGTCCGAGCAGTTGAAAAGATTATTTTTTTCCCCACTGAATGGTCTTGGTCAAAAATCAATTGGCATAGGTATATCGGTTTATTTCTGGACTCTCAGTTCTACTCCATTGATCTATGTTGCTATCCTTGTGCCAGTACCAGTGTCTTGATTACTGTAGCATTGAAATTGGAAAGTGTGAGTCCTCCAACTTTGCTTTTTTTCCAAGATTGTTTTCACTCTTCTGTGTCCCTTGCATTTCCATATGAATTTCAGGATCAGCTTGTCGATTTCTCCAAAGATGGCAGTTGGAATTTTGATAGTGGTTGTGTTAAATCTGTACATCAATTTGTAGACCATGTTAAGTCTTCCAGTCCATGACATGGATGTCTTCCCATTTATGTAGGTCCTCTGTAATTTCTTTCAACAATGTCTTATACTTTCAGTGTACAAGTTATGCACTTATTTGTTAAGTTCATTCCTAAATACTTTATTCTTTTTGATGCTAATGTAATGTCATGCTATTGTATGGTTTTGTATTAATTTCATTTTTAGATTATTCATTGCTAGTGTATAGATGTACAATTGATTTTTTTATACATTATTTATTTATTTATCTTTGGCTTCGTTTGCAGTGTGCGGGCTTCTCATTGCGGTGGCTTCTCATTGTGGAGCACAGGCTCTAGACTCACGGGCTTCAGTAGCTGTGCCACTCAGGCTCAGTAGTTGTGGCTTGCGGGCCCTAGAGCACAGGCTCAGTAGTTGTGGCGCCTGGGCTTAGTTGCTGCGCAGCATGTGGGATCTTCCCAGATCAGGGCTCGAACCTGTGTCCCCTGCATTGTTAGGCGGGTTCTTAATCACTGCGCCACCAGGGAAGCCCTGATTTTTATATATTAATCTTGTATCCTGCAACCTTGCTTAAATCATTTATTAGCTCCAGTAGTTTTTGTGTGTGTGTGTGGATTCTTTAGGATTTTCTGTATGTATAACATCATGTCATCTGCCAATAGAAATAGTTTTACTTCTTCCTTTCCTGTTTGCATGCCTTTTATTTCTTTTTCTTGCCTAATTGCCCCTGGCTAGAACTTCCGGTACAATGTTGAATGGAAATGCTAAGAACAGACATCCTTGTCTTGTTCCTAACCTTAGGAGAAAAGCTTGCAGTCTTTCACTATTATGATGTTAGCTGTGGGGTAGATGCCCTTTACCAAGTTGTGTAAGTTACTTCTGTGCCTAGTTTTTGTCATGACAGGGTATTGGATTTTGTCTGGTGTTTTTTCTGCATCTCTTGAGAAAATCACGTGGAGGTTTTCCCCTCATTTATTCTGTTAATATGGTGTATGGCATTGATTGGTTTTCCTATGTTGAACTTGGGGTAAATCCTACTTGGTCATGGTGTAATACATATTAGCCTTTTTATATGCATCTAGATGTGGTTTGCTAGGATTTGGTTGAGGATCTGT